CCCTTGTCTTTCTTTACTTTCCTGTTTCTGCAGTTCAACGAGGAACTACTTATTGTCCTAACCACATTTTTTTCTTGTGTCCCTCCTTATTTTGCCTCTTTTTTCTCTTCCTGCTAGCTCACTTAGTCATAGTACAGTTTCTATCGTAATCACAACCTAAATCAGAGCAATATGTGAAACAATACAAATTACATATCGGTCATATGAATAAATAGAGGATATATAAATTAACAAATATATATTCTGAGAAGTCGATTAACATGTATCCTAATTATAACCCTGAGGGTTGAACAGAATATTTTTGAAAAATTACTACTACTACTATTCTCAAAATAGTACCCCTTGAATTGGAAACTACATCCGTTCATTATCATGTGCACAGTAGCTCGCTGTATCTTTGTGCCGGGCTATACAGGTTTTGAAGACAATGAATGCGCTGATTATCTGGCAGACAAAGTAGCTACCACGACTGGGCCGGCACTGGACAGGAGTGATGTCATCAATGTGATGTGAGCTGCATATCGCAGAAAAGATCACAACAAGCAGGACTCCTTGTATCCTTGTCAAGTTTGATGGACTTGGGGATGCAACCTGGAGTAGCCAGATATGAACATTTCACCAAGGGCACAAGGAGTCTGGTTAATCAAAACAAAACGGACGTATTCAGTCATATTACTCTTGTGGAACTACCGAGGAGAAGATCGGAGCACCTGTGGAGCTATTTAGCAGTAGATTGGCATGTGTGGATAAGATTATTATGGCCTGGAGAGAATGATGCACTTGGGTGTAACCAGAGGGTCTGGCCGGCTCACTACACTCAGAGGAAAGGCAAGACGGACATATAACCAGATTGTGACCGGTACCATCAGTATTGGAACTCTGCGCTGGCTGCTGAAGATGAGAACATAGCACACATAAGAATGCTCCGAGTGCTGTGATGTCAATTCTTATATATATATATGTATGTAACTTGTTATATATATGGCGATATATATATATATATATATAATATATATATATATATATATATATATATATATATATATATATATATATATATATAATATATCGCCAAGTTAACATTTAAACATACTGAATGTTGAATTAAGAATTGACTTCACAGCACTCCCATAAAAGCCCAGTCCTCATCTTCAGCAGCGAGTGAAGAGTTTCAATTCTGATGGTACCAATAACCGTCTGACTGACTGTATATCCGTCTCATCCTTTCACTGAGTGTCGAGCGTCGGCCAGATCCCCTGGTAACTCCTCGCAGCCATTCTCCTTAGATCGTTTAAATATCACGATGAAGTATATAAAACAAACAGCATGAGGATAAGTACTAAAAAAATGGTAAATGTTTTATTTTGTTATGGCGTCACAATTCCTTATAATACCACAACAGCAACATTTGCATATTTTTCCAAAAGAAAAGGGGGAGGGGAGGGGAAACCTAAGAACTCGAGGTAGACAAAACAAGATGGACGGATAACATCAGGAAACTTGTTACTTTATATATATATTATATATATATATATATATATATATATATATAATATATATATATATATATATATATATATATATAATCCACATCCTATCACATGAATCCAACCCATTCGTGCCATGTCCTCCGATGCAGCAGCCACTACAGTGTCTCCATGCTCACAGGACCTAATATGAGTTGACTGGCTTTTCTTTTCCTTGCCGGTTTCAAAATGCTTGACTTCGTTTTAAAATGACGCCAATTTACAACAGGCGGTTCATTGTCTCGAACTCCCGTGTCTCAACGTCTCTAGAACGCAGAGCATTTAGAATGTCTGTCCACGATCGGCGCCAGCTGATGGGCCGTGCTGCTGACGTCACCGGGTCAGGCCAACGATGCGTTAACGCAAGTTCTCAAACAAGAAAAAAAAAAACTATTTTCGACAGTGGCGAGGAAGGACAACCCACGGCCTTCTCTATTTATTACCTAGAGACGGCATTGGACAACCTAAAGGTCAGCTGAAGTCGGCTGTGGTCTGTCCACGAGCGGCTCTAGCTTTAAATTATTCATGCGACGGGCGTGGTCTGCCGTGTCAATTCTAATAAATACTTCTTCATCCACTAACTATAGTAGCATCATTTTCAGCGCAGACAGCCCAGTCGCACACAGCTCTCGCTCGCTTGCTCAAACCGCCCGATCAGCCACATGTGTCTCTCGTTCGCTTGCTAACTACCCATTCGTAGGCTGATTATCGATAGCTAGATACTGGTCAGACTGGCTCGACTAAGCTATCGATGTCGTCTGCGTTTGGGTCATTAGTAGCCCGGGAGCACATCATTGTTTAAGAGCCAGTCGCACCAGCCACTCGTGAAACGATTGCTCGTGAACTGTGGAGAAAAGCACTTTCGGTGTACTTTTCAGTTCACTTAACGAGCCTTGCCAGACTCTGCAGGAATCGAGCTTTCGATAGCCGCCAGAAAAGCACAACTTTTGCCAGCCACAGCCACAACAATTATGGCCCGGGGCAAAAACAATCAGAGGAAGCAGCAGCCAGACCGTAGCACCCGCTCTACCTCAGTGAACGAAGTTACAGCACCCACCGTGGAACCGACCTCACCAGAGAAGATGATGCCGACTCTAGAGGACCCAGTCGAGGCGCAAGCACCGGTTGAAGTTGTCTCTAGCTAGATGCCAGTCGCACCGACCCAGATGCTGCCAATTCCAGACGCAGCCCCAGTGGAGGCACAGTTACCCATCAAGACACCCAACAAAGAAGCCGCAACTGTCGTGACCCGGATAGAAAGTAGCAGTCAACCGCACAAGAAGCAGCAAGCTGGTAACTACACACCGGATATCACGCAGTGTTCGCGCTGTAACCGGGCGTGGTATACCGCCGCGACCTGCCGCAGCAGCCCAATTTGCCGGTACTGCGCCGGCCCACACGATTTTAAGGAGTGCAGCCTTGCTAAAACGGATCCGGACTTTAAGAAGCCTAATACCAATCGAAAGTGCTCTAACTGCTCAGGGGGCCACAGCGCTAGGTACCAAGGATGCCCGTACTTGAAAGAAATCAAGAGAGCCAAGATGTATACCACCACCAGGACCGCCTCTTGCCCAGTGTATCGACGCAAAGCTGAGCAGCCAAGGCCGACAGTCACGACCTCCACGATCAGTAAGGAAATTCTGCTATTAAAGGAGGAAATCCAGAACCTCAAGAAAGAGAACTCAATCATCAGGAAGCAAAGGGACCAAGAACGGGACGACATGACAGATCTGAGAGGAATCCTACAGTCATCCCTTGAAACACAAAGAAGACAGGAAAAAGAGAATGTCGAGATGATGGCGTTCAAGACAGAACTAATGGCGATGCTGACAGAACTCAAGAAAATGAAAGAATCAAATGCCGCAGCTGCCAAACAACTGCAAGATGATCAAAAAGAATTAAAATCCGAAGTCACCGCCATCAAGAACGAACTGATGGCTGGCAAAGCAGAACTAACAAAGACGAAGGAAGAATGCACCAAACTGAGCGCCGTACTTCACGCCACCAACAAAGTGATGGACGACAGAGAAAATGCAAAGAAAGAAGCAGAAAGGAAAAAGCAATCCGTCGAAAACCACCAGAAAGCAAAACAAAATGTCACCCTGGAATATGAACAGAACGTGCAGGGGGAAGAATACCAGACCCAATCAGATGAAAGCAACGTAGCACAGTCCGTTGAAACAACACGCACCACGGACCAAAGCAGCACCACAGAAGCCATCCCGACCGCAGAGGAAACCACAATATGTTCAGAAGCACAAGAAATTGTAATCCCCAAGGACATAAGTGAGGCCGGACTAAGTGAGATGGTGCAAATCTTCAACAAACAAGCACTCCCGCACAAGATCATATTTGTGCAAGGCCGCTACTGCACCCAATATGACCGAGAGATGTTTTCAAACGGCACACTCTTAACCGATGAAAAAAGCAGAGCCTCCGTCGCAAAATTAAACCAATTCTGTGGACAGGTGATTGAAACCTATGAACGGATAAAAGCGACCAAAAGAAATCAAAGGATGCATGGAACACCAAACAGACGCCTCCAATATTAAACCAGATGAACCACCCAAAAACAACCAAACAGATGGACCAGCCCGACCGCAGAATCAAGAAGCCATTAGCCAACCAGAACTGACCAAAGCCGCCCTGACACCGACCAAACCCAGCTCACCGGACCGGAAAACTCACCCGCGCAAGACCAACCAGGCACCACCAGTACTTGGCAGCAGAAGCCAGACCCCACCCATCCCGTTTCATGCCACCCAGGCACATATGGCTGTCCTTTTCAGGACTGCCATGTCCACTCCCAAAACCTGCAAGCTGCCCGCCAAGCCCACGCTGCTAACAAGTTGCAACCAATGAAAGGAAACTCAGGCGAAAATCATCGCCACAAAAGTACGAAATTCAAACTTAGACAGCAAATAACCCGTCCTTGAGAAAACAGGCCACCAGGCGGTTAAAAAAGAACAAAGTTTGAAATTTTTGTTTTTCTTCGAACGAACGAACTATAACTATAGCAGACTATAAGTAGATACTGTGAAATAGAGTGAAATATACCAGGCAATGGACTGTGCAGTCTGTGTCTTGTTTGTTCAGATTTTCAAAGGGGGAGGGGTATTAGGTATTCCCTGTGGCAATTTATATTTCTTTACAAAAATTGGGGGCAGCGTAGTCTCGAATTTTCAAAAGAGGACGGTTTTAAATGAGGACAAAAATCAAGGCCGAGCATTTTTTACCACATATCGGCTAGAGAGTATGTATGTAATAACTATACAAGGTAGTGATTGGTCAGTTCTAGAGACTCTCATCCAATCAAATTGAAGTTATTATTTAAGACCCTCGTTTCGTCTGCATCGACTGGAAATGGCGATGAACTAGCCAAACACAATTTTACAATTGAACCACTATATTTCTTATTATCTGTACCACTAACTCTCAATTTGGATATTTGAAATCACTTGCAGATTATTGAGCATGTCTGGTTTTACTTCAACGAACGAGGAATCGGCTGATGGGCTTCCAAAACAATTTGTTTCATCGCTGAGAATTCTGTTCGATATCTTAGATGAAGGCAGGTCTGGGTTTGTTTATTTTAGGGACATCGAAAGTAGATGGAGCGACGATGGGGTTAGAGGACTCCCTGCTGGGGTCATTGATGCTTTGAGAAAAGTAACACCGCCTAATGGAATGCTTAGTTTCAGTAGATTTGTTGCAGGTCTAAAGCTTGTTTTAACGAAAAAGCGCGATGACATCTATGAAGCCGACACAAGAAAATTTGTTTCAAAGGAGAATCGAACTCCGCTACAAGAGTACAATTCGGGGCAAAAGACAATATCCAGGGCCACGGACGGTAATAATTTTATCAGTGATAATTATTATACAGGCAGGGCATCTCATAACACAGTCAGCAGAGAATTTGATAATTATCATCAGCAGAAAAGACCACATTACCCATCTGAAAATATCACAAAGCCAGCAAATCGTCATCAGAATGATCCTAATTATGATGTTACTTATTCTCAAGATGGCTACAGGAGATCCCCACCTGTACAGTTAGCAGTGTCTGGATCTTCTAGATCCGTACCACAGAGTTCATATATAATTAAGCCAGATGTGCGTAGTTATCCCAATGGAGCAGGAAACCACAACCCATCAACAAACAGTGGATGTGGTTTGCGGAAAGGTACAAGTAACCGCGAGGTGCACCAGCAACCCCAAGAGAGAGCACCTGCTGTACCTCCAAGGCCAGAGAGACTGCCTCCAGGACCTGAAAGACCATCTGCTGGCCAATCTTCATATTCTTCACAGATGAAAAAGTCCCTATCTGGACCCAATCTTGCCACCCATTCATACTCCCCACCAGTTATTCCACCCAGGGGTCAGTCTCAGAACACGAGGATACTGAATGACTTAAAGAACTGGCAGAGAGAATGGCCAGGAAGTCAGACTGCTGATAGGAAATATGGCTATGATAAGCTGCCTCATTCATCGAAATCTAATCAGGACAGTGGAATATATGGTAAGTACATGTTTAGTTGAGCCCGCCTGCGGGTCCAAAGGTTGGGGGTTCAAATCCAAAAAGAGCCGGTTTTTTTCCTTTCAGAAATGACCTTGGCTTTCAGGTTGACCCAGGTTTAAATGGGAACCAGGTACAGTCCAGGTAAGCAGGGATGGCCGGCATGCTGCTGACCACATCACTCACCAAGTTCCTATTGGTCTATAAATATAGGTCTAGCACTATATGCCCAATGTTTCATGATATCAGTCATCCCTTCGTGGGATGCAAATTTTGGCTATCCTCCGAATAACGGCCACATATTATGGCGGCAAAAAAACCCACTCTGACAGGGCCTCAATCACATGTGAATTGCGGACTTCCTCCAACGAACACATTACTGCCCGTTGACAATTTCGAGAAATGCAACGATACACACGATAATAGCCACATGACAGGGAGACCACGCGCTCCGACACAGGTTAGCGACAGTGTTCTTATGATTAAACTCACCGCCGAGCGTATCCGCCGTGAGTGGGGGGGGGGGAGGGGGGGGGGGGGGGGCTAAACTAGATGGCTAGGACTCACGAGCAGCAGCGACATCATCTTCTGCAACTTCCTCCAGTTTTTTTGCTTGTGAGTCCCAGCCATCTAGTTTAGCCCCCTATCTATCCGCGCGTAGCGGAATGGGATCTACTCTCTGCGGTGAAAACTGCGTTACCAATGCAGCACCGATCATATTTAGCCAAGTTTCAATGACGCCACAGCCTCGAAGAGCAGATTTGTGGGCACTGTTTGCAACTTGTGTGCCACTATTTTCATATATAAATACTTCAGTTATCGCTAAGTAGTGGATTTAGTAATTTTCCTTTTTTTCGCTCCTCATTATTGTCGAGTTCAAGTTTCTGAATGTTTACAACACACAACCTAATGAGGCCCTGTCAGGTTGTGTTTTTGGCTGCCATAATATGTGGCCGCTATTCGGAGGATAGCCCCAATTTTTGTTATTTTGAAGCCCCAGCCTGGCTTTTGCCGAGCCATAAATTTGGCCTAGCCATAGATATGGCCTAATGGCTGAAAGGGGTTTCTGGGACCTCTCCATGGGTGATCCTCATTCACATGGTGGCACTTGTGTCACCGGGTGTTTATCGCTTGTTAATGTCCTGGTGGGGTACAGCTACCTACCTATATGCCCAATACTCCTAAAGGCATGGAAAAAAGATCCTTTACGTTTACCAGTTTACTTGTTTTGACATTTGTTTTAGTAGTGATTGGTACAAGTCCTCATTCAACCAACCTATAAGTCTTTAAAAATGACTTAGCTTATGAAAAAAAATAATAAAAACCATATGATGTAAAAGAAATTCAGATAGACAATTGAACAGAGAAGTATCTTTATCAAAGGAGTCACAAAGAGGTGTAATGATAGTCATGCAGTTTATAAAGTTAAGGACCCTTTTCCACGCCTTTAGGCATATAGTGCAAGCCTATATTTTATAGACCAATCGGCACTAGGTGGGTCAACATCATCAAGCAGGTCATCTTTACTTACTAAGCACTTTACCTGAGACCTATTTCTTTTTCTTCTTCTTCTTCTTCTTGTTCACCGGCTGTGAATTCCGGCGGTAAGTCGCGGTTGTTCGTCCAAAATTGACTTTTGGCTTTTACCTTGACCTGAGTTTTGCATGTACATCCGTTTTACTGGCTTATTTGTTTGCAGTCCTCGTTCCCTGCCTCTCCGGCAGATGTACTCCGACTTCGAGGGAGAGACCCATTTAAAGCTGGGTCGACCTGGGAGCCGGGGTCATTTAAAAAAAAAAAGGCTGGCTCTCTCTGGACCTGAACCCACAACCTTTGGATCTGCAGGCAAGCATCTACTTGCTACATCATGACGGCTCCATGTCTTTTCCTCTGCATGTTGAAAATCATCCAGATCCTGTGCTGACCCCCAGTTAAATTAGTCTCAACAGGTATATGTACTCTGTTCTGGTGCACTGCCCATTTGATCTCTGAGAGCCTTCAACACATCCACTCTTTTGTAAAATAGCTTTCCACGCTGACTAACTGACTGACTTTCTACCCCACCAGGAAATCACACAAGCGATAAACACCTGATGACACAATGTGCCACAATGGGGGTGAGGATCACCCGTGGAGAGGTCCCAGAAACCGCGTTCAGCCTTTAAGCCATATTTATGGCCAGGCTAAATTGCGGCCCCTGGCAAGAGCCAGAGTAGTGCTTCAAAAAACGAAAAATTTCATCCTAAAAAGGACGAGAAGTATTAACACTTTCCTGCACTCTTTCGATTGGCCACCTTAGGGGGGTGCTATCTGTTGTTACTTGACATTACCTCGTCTACCAGCCATATGGGGCGTAATCCATTTTTTAGTGTAAATTTACACATCATTCTTTCATATTTAATATTGTTTGAGGTTTGGGTTAGGATTAGAGTTAGGGCTAACCCTAACCTGACGCAATATTTAATGTTATACAACATTATGTAAACATACACAAACAATGCATTGTCTCCCTTATGGTCGCAGTAAACAAACAGTAGATTGAAAGAGTGCATAGCTTTCTGCCCAGAGGATTGGCAGCAGCTAATCTATCAGCCTGCTCATTACCACACACACCCGAATGTCCTGGGCACAGATTCATGCTATGCTGCATGTCATGACCAAGAATGTATCCTGCTCTTGATGCTACCCACACACCACACCTGTTACATTATCTTTTTTTTTTTTTTTTGCACTTTTACTTTACCACATCTTTTACCAAGGAGTATTGTCTTGAACGTTTTTTTTAAATATGGCTTATGTTTAAAAGACATTATAAAAATATAGCATATTTATTGTCTGTAAAAAAGTCCCCTTGTGGGTTCTAGAGGAAGGGGGGGGGGGGAGATAGACCTGCTGCTCCCCCCCCCTTTCCCCTAGCAAACCCTGGCATGAAAGGCAATTAATTAGGGTTGACTCAGCCCCATAAAAATGGGTATTAGAGAAGTGAAAACTGTGTTTTCCTACCATCATCATTATATAGCACTTTTTTTTACTCCTGTTTACAATCATGCCTCTCCAAAGTCTGTGCTTTTCAATAGCATGAATCAGTTTATGTTCAAATCCCCTCCGTGCCATGACACAAGTTGCATTGTCTTCCTCTGTCTCTTTTTCCACAGATCTTTCCATTGGTCACAACATATTCCAATTTCCTTCTTCTCATAAAAAAAAAAAAATGACTGTCTCTTTCTGATGTTTGGAATGTTGTCTTCAAGCTCTTGCCTCTTTCAAAACATTTGGGTAGCTCTTTTTGGTTGTCTAAAGAATTTGAAGAATTCTTCTCTCATAATGACTTTAAATAATGCAGACACAAATACATTGTTTAATTTATTGCCTGGTATAATGGCTAGAAACATTGTGATTTGTTTATTTCAGTTGGAAAGATTCATTTTTGTGTGTGAGCTTTAATATATATTGATATGACTATGTAGTGCACCGGACAGGATACAGCAAAATATGTCAGGCAGTATTTTGTGTTATGTCTGCATTATTTGAATTCTTAATAATTTCCAGAATAGTCTGGAGAGTAAAAGTGATGAGGAAGAGAACCACATTCCCCTTCCCCCCCCCCCCCCCCCCCCCCCCCCCCCCCCCCCCCCCCCCCCCCATACAGTGGAACCTGGCTTAACGAGCATAATCCGTTCCAGAATCATACTCGTTAAGCAAAACACTCGTTATGTGAAACAATTTTTCCCTATATAAATTAATATAAAATACGGTAATGCGTTCCATGTCGAAAAAAATTCTTGCAAAATGCTATGTATAACGTTTATTCAAAGAAAATTATGTACATATTGTTAAGGATAGTGAATCATCTTCATCTTTTCTTCAAACGCGGAACGAACCCACATGGAATGCGAATTCGATTTGCAGAAAGAAAAAAGTCGAAATAATTAAGATACATAGCTAATTATTTATTATACTAGATATATGTCCAGAGACATTTGTTTTGGCCGACGCTTCAAAATTTGGCAAAAATGCGACATACCATTATAATTAAATAAATTTGCAACGCGCATAGACACTTCCTTATAAGGATGATGCTTCTCAATGTAAGATGCAACAGTTTGCCATGCTTTCAGCATTTCTCTTTTTTCGCTAGAAGATTGTTGCTTTTCTGTTACCTCCTCCTCCTCTGACAAAGTTTCTTCCAAAACTTCTTGCTGTGAAAAATAATGCAACTCCATAAGCTCTTGGGTGGTCAGCTCTTGGCTGTGCTCTTCCACAAGCTCTCCGATATCACTGTTATCCACCTACAATCCCATGATAGTGGCCAAAGATACAATCTCGTTGACTACAGGTTCCACAGGTACTGTCTCGAACCCCTCAAAGTCAAAAATCGACAATGCTGTCCGGCCAAACGCTCTCTAGATAACCCCTTTCCCCGCCTTGTCGATCATCTTGAGGCAGGCAACTATGTGGAAGTAATTTTTCCAAAAGTCTTTGAGAATAAGGTTGGTCCCTTTAGTCACCTGAAAACAATGCTCGTAGAGTGCTTTAGTGTAGAGCTTCTTAAAGTTAGAAATAACTTGCTGGTCCATGGGCTAAAGTAACGGAGTTGTGTTAAGAGGCAGAAACTGGATCTTGATTAACTTAGATTCTTCAGAGAGGTCATCTTGTAGGCCTGGAGGATCCGTGTAGATATATAACAATATAACACAATTTTGAGAAAATGTGTGATCACAAGCGACACTACGATGCTACTGGAACGAGTGCTAAACACAGACTGATATAACATGCCCACAATTCGGAACTTCCCCTCTCCTCGCCACTCGTTATGTGAAATGTCGCTCGTTAAGCAAGTCATTTTTTATCAATTTGTTTTGCTCGTTATGCGAATTGCTCTTTATGAGAGGTGCTCGTTAAGCGAGGTTCTACTGTATCATGTAGATTGTCAGACTCAACTTGTTTAAGAAGATCCAAACTGGCAAAATGTTCACAGCATCCAAAAGTCCCACCTCAAGTAACTGTCTTGGCTCTACACACCGGGTGAAAGGAAATTACAGAGCCCACAAACTGGCAGTGGTTAATGGAGGAAGAAGTATGGACAGGGAAGACCTACGGAATGCCTGTTTCAGAGATGTTGAGACAATGCAGTCTTAGACGATGAACTACCCTTTGGAAATGTTTTTTAAATGAGAACAAGCATGCAGAAACCAATTTTCAGGCAGATAAAGAATATGTCAGTCAACTCCTGTTGGATACGTTGAGCATGGAGATGCTGAGGTGGCTCCTCCCACGGAAGACGGAGCATGAGTTGGTCAGACCAGTGTGCTAGAATGTCAGTACAGACAAGTAACAAGTAAAGAATTTGTGAAGCCATAACACTTGAGCCACAGTGTTTACTATAGGACTACCTTTTCTCTTAATGCTTCAGTAGGTATTATCTCCCAAAACCCATGCATTTTTTTTAATACCCTTAACTTGAGACGCAATCCATCCAGAGTGACATGACTACACATCATCATCCTCTTGCTCTTCACAGCCAACATTGAGCAGTTTCAGAGGAGGCCTGAGGGAGACCAGAAACAGCCAGCTGTGCCAGGACCTCAGAGAGCCACAGTTCAGCGCCATGGTTCAGGCCGAAGGCACACTCTGGCCAATGGAATTGATCAGAATATGGTAACTGTATGTAGTATATATGTGGCTTAGATGTTGCAGACTCACTTTGTAATTCTGCTGTGTCCCAGTTTTGATACCAGCTGCATGTGATTTGGCAGCAGACTGCCTTGCATTGGTTTCAGCAGTGGTATTGAGAGTCAACCATTCAGAAGCTGTGGCAAGTTATGAACATAAAACTTGCTTAGTGATATCACAAGCTGCCAAAAATGCTAGTGTGTAGGGGGTGGGAGTCTGCAGCACCTGGTAATGGATACACGTTAATCATTGTATGTTTAAGTTTTACCAATTCTGCGTGGTAAATAAATTGTCAGGATATAATTATTTCTGTTTCTATTTTTTGTCTTTTTAATTAAACCTTTAAAGAGAATTTTGAAGAACTTCAGAGGTCATCAAAACAGATGAGCTAATCCATAAATAATCAGTAAGTTAAAGACCTCCTTCCATGCCTCCTGGCCTGGGCATATGATGCTAACCCTATATTTTGATATGCCAGTAAACTTTCAGTGGGTGATGTGGTCAGTATCATCCTGGCTCCTTTTCTTTTCATAACACTTCCTGGTACTAATTTTGCACTGGGTCAACCTGAAAGCCTAGAAAAATTTTAAAAAATCTGCCTTATGAGGATTTAAACACTTGGCAGACATAGAAGTTTGCTAGCTACTGCTGTGCTGCAGCTGCTCCACAGCTAATGGCTGTCAACAAAAAGACACATCTTACTATATATTCTAATTAAATTGATATTGCTATTAAAATGCATGCCACATTATTTTGTTTCTGATTATAATGACAGTCTGATGCTCAAGAGACAGTCTTAATTATAACATGTTGCTTTATTGCACATCAAACCATTCGATCATAAGTGTTAACAGAATGTCCTCGGTATATCCCTGAGCATATAGTGGTTAAGGTGTACTGTATTATTTTACTATGTTTTCCTTGGTCCCACTGCATAGCACTCTTATCTGGATTTGCCCCATTTGATGTTTTTGCAGTCTGATTAAGGTTGCAGATTCACAGTGATTGCTGGATTATTGTGTGTGTGTGTCTCATGTTCTCTTCTTGAGTACATTCTACATGATATACATCAGCCAGATCCAGCATTCATTGTCTTTTCACAGTGGAAACACTATCTAAACTAATAAGCTCAGAGTCATGTTTGCTGAAGTGGCAGTGAGTAGTCCCTGACCAAAAACAAGTCACACAGAAATCTCTTGATAAGGATGTCTGGAAATTAATCTGCACATCCACTGAGTTTCACAGTAGAGGATTGGCTAAGTAAGAGGAACATTTAATTGCAACATGTCCAATGTTAGTAGACGTGATTGCACCATCAGTTCTTTTTTTTTTTCTCAGGTAAAAAGAATTAAACAGCTGGAAGAAGAGGCCTCCATGCTTCGCTCAGGTTTGGCCATGGTTGACTCAGCAAGAGATTGGTACATGAAGCAACTAGCTGTAGTCTCTGACAAACAGGCAATGCTCGGCAAAGTGACGTATAATGTGAGTAGTTGTACAGTCTCCCTCCTAGTGTGGTATACCACGAAAATGTTATAAGAATTTTTGTTTTTCATCTTCCAAAAAAGCTAAAGTCAAAAAGATCTAATTAACATTAAACAACACTGAGTTATCCCATAGTGTTTGTTTTCTCTCCACTGAATGGCTAGTTACCTTCCGAGAGCATTGCACAAAGCACTGTGGCTCCTGCAAAGATAATTGTTTAAGTTTTTCTCCATATGTTAGATTCATACGTCAGTACTGATTTGATATTAGAGCTAAATATTTTAAATCCTTTACTATTAGCTGATATAATGGAGTGATAAAACTACTTTAAATTTAATCTGATAAAACTGAATCTAACAGCAGCCCTTCTAGTCTTTGCATTAGTTATCAGCAAAGACAGTTCGCTCTTTTATGATTTATGTTGAATTAAGAATCGACATCATAGCACTCAGGACACTCCCATAAGCGTTCAGTCAGCATCTTCAGCAGCAGGCGAAGAGTTCCAGTTCGCATGGCACCAGTATTATGATTTATTTTGCTTTAAAGTCAGTAGGTAAAGAAGTAATGAAAACAAAAGCCAGTTAATACACTTATGATGCAGACAAGCTTCACCAGGGGTTTCACAAGACCAAAGAAATATATCCACATGATTGCCATTACCTTTTAGATGCTTAGATTTCAGCTCTTTTCTGTACTTTTTGTCCAGCTTTGACATTGCAGATGTTTTTCATTGTTCACCCTTAGAAGGGTGGTTGGCACAATTGTGTTGTGGTTTAAAGCTAGGCTGAGATATGCACACCTTTTGACAAAACACTTCTGATTTCAGCAACCCCTAATTAGTCTCATGGGGGGGGGGGGGGGGGGGGGGGGGGCTCTGGGTCTGTTCTTGTTTCCCCAAAATGGTTCACTGGTACACACATGGGAAAAGGTCCAGGTGTTTAAGTTAAACTTTCTCGAATGATTCCTTTTCAGGGTCCAAACTCCAGAGACGTTTGCTATAACAGAGGATCTTAAGGCTGTTTGTTAAAGATTAAAAAGTCGAGAGGATCTACTTTATTGCATGAGGTTTTATCCCATATGGCCTGGTTTGTCTCTGCAGAACATCTAGCTGCCTGCCCAGAGCATCGCACAGAGCACGAACTCTGTAGCTCAGGTGACGATCCCCATTGATCCCGTAAAATTTGCACGCGTGAACCTTTTAGCACAGCCATGAAACAAACCCACGACCTTTAGAGAGGACTTCGCCACGGAGAACCCAAAAGGCTGTCTGTGTTGTTAGTTAGTTAGTTATTGTTATCATGTATGAACACAAATACTTTTTCTTTGATATGAAACACATCAAATATACACAATATTGTCCTTATTTCTAATACAGGACAACTCTGTGGAGGCTTACCAAGAGCGAATGAACTTCCAGCGAGCCCGCATTGCAGAAATTAATCAGCATCTCCAGACGTTGTTGGAAAGCTCAGAAAAGGTGATTGAAATCTTATTTGTTTCTCAAGGTTTAAGTTTAGATTTAGACGACGGATCGACATCATGGCAGTAACCCATAAGTGCTCCGTTCTACTTCTGACTCAAACCTGAGTCCCAAGAATCTCAGTGCAGTGCACAAGCTCAGTAGCACCGGTGAGGATCCTAAAATACTTTGGGTAGATTTTGTACTCTAAATTTTGCCTGGACAGTGCTGTTAGGCTACTCTTTTTCGATTTCCAACTGCCAAGGGATTTTTTACGTGCCTAGCAATACACACGGGTATCCAATCTTACTACCCAGAGACCAGAGGACATTACTAGAACTCCACATGAAAAAAAACTCAGCTTGAACCCGGGACCTCCAGCACTCGAGGCGGACGCCATGCCTTGAAACCACGCAGCACCCTATTTGTTTCTTAAGTAGTAAATAAGTAAAGGTACCTTTTCACCCCTTTGATCCGACGAGCATATAGTGTTACACCTGTATTGTTGTTTACCAGTCAGCACTCGATGATTTGCCTTTTTTTACCCTTCTGCACCAGAGCTTACAGCCGGTGAACGTGAAGAAGAAGAAGAAAAAGGAAGATATTTTTCACAGCTCCCTGACCCAAAATGCTTTTTTTTGCCCCGTAAATATAATAATATCTACAGTCTTATCAGTACCATGCAAGTGCAAAAATAAAACAAAAAACACTGCCATTTATTAGTCCTCTTGTGGGACAGTTCACTGCAGCAGTGCCATTTACACGGATATTTAACAAACAGATGTACTAGATTTCTGGCTTTTGAGGGCTAAAGGGCTCAACTAACATACACATAGACACCTGTCACATTTTTAATCATTTGTCCTCAAATTTCAGGGTTTTCCAATTCACATGAACCTGGCTATGGCTTCACCAGCAAATAAATCAACAGATAATAGAGCTGTACAGGGACTGAAGGAGCAGAACAGAAGACTGCTTGAGGTCAGCTCTTGTCTGGTCATATGTTGTCTTGTTTATTCTGTCTTGTCCGAGACTATAAGCATTCTTGTCCGTTGTTGTTACATTTGTTGGAGGGGGAAAATGGGGGGTTGGGGGGGGGGGGGGGTGTCATCTTCATCATCATAAACCCATTGCACAATGTGTTGTTGAATCACTAGTAAATGTTGACTAGCTAATCTGTTTTCTCTACCTGTCATTCTGCTATCTTGTCTTCTCTTTCCCTCTCTCGAAACTCATAGTTTAGAAAGGCTGGAATAGTCATAATTATTATCCAACCAGGTTTTGTTCCTGATGTTTTTTAATGCCTAGAATTCTGGTAACTTTTGGTCAAACCTGGAAATAGGTTGCTTGTAGTTTTCTTAAGCACAATCTCTTTTGATATATGCGAGGCCTCAGCCTCAGCACTGAAAGATCATTAATAGTGAGCGGCAGGCCACTTGCCAGGCCTCTGCAGGCCATATTTGGCCCACAGGCCACCAGTTGCATAGCCCTTCTGTAAGGAGTTACCAGTCAACATGTGGTGAGTTGTTTGGTACCAAATGTATTAAGGAGTTAAAATACAAACCTTGCAGGACAGCTGGAGACAAAGTAACAATGGAGTTTAAAGAGATGAGGATTTATTTTATAGCGCTTGCTTTTACTTTTAACCCTTTCACCCCGCAAATGTAAAAAAAAAAAAACTATCAGCCATGAACTCCTATGAATTTCTGGAATTAATGCTTTAAAAAACATACTTTTTTTTTTCAAAATATATAACGATATGTAAAGGGAGTAATCAATGTAAAAGAACGTTGAAGTGTTAAATGAAATGCATTATCCTGGGGTGACTTAGGCATTGATCCCATAACCTCTATCGATAAAACTTCCTGGAAAATTTTAGGTTAATCTGGCTTCAAAAAAAAAAAAAAGCTATTGGGTTTACAATGAAGCCTCTCTAAGTTAATATATTCACAGCTGGACATCTTTAACACAAGGCAGGCATACGTTGAACCAGTGGCATTTAACTACCCTTTTTGAGAACAGGTCAATACTGTAGTAACGGTATATCGGCATTTACAGGGCTGTGTCACCGCAAGTGACTAGATTTAGCTGTCTTGGTGTAATAGGGTTATACCATATGCCTATGTCTCTCTTGTGCAGAACAGCTGGTCACCTGTTGAAAATTTAAAAGAAAACATGTTTAGATGCTGTGACTCCTGGAAATATCCTAACGACAAAGTCTAAAACCAAACCAGCAACCTTCAGAACATGAGATAATGTATCCATAGCTTGAAATCACGCCAGACTTTGTGAGTAAAAGTAAATATTTGTGGCATAAAGTGGCGAAGCGTCATATATAGTATGCCACATTATTTTGGTAGGCTATATTATTGTTAGTCGGCTCTGTGGCTAAGTCGATGCGAACGCTTCGCTTTGTAATGCCGGGATGCCAGGTTCGATCCCAGCTGCGGGCCATGCGCCTTGCGTTGGTTTCGACAGTGGTATCAAGAAAGCCGACCGTCCAGAAAGCAATGGCAAACTACTGGATGTAAATTGCCTAGAAAAACCACACAACAGCCAGGGGCTGTTAGGGTTGGTTCTGCAACGTCCTGTAAAGGATACGCAACTAACTTTTTTTATATTATTGTTAAGTGAACTGACCGGCTCCCTTCTTTCCAGATCTTTCTTTCCAAGAATACTCTTTTTATGCAAGTTATCTCATGAGCTGTTCACATTTATATGTCCACAGCTGTGAATTTGTAAATTGATTCAGGACTCTGTTGTGTTGCTACCTCAATGCATTACCAACTAAATGGCCACCACTCTACACTTAAAGTCCATGCCGTGTGGCATTAGTAGTCATGTTGTATATCCACAGCCTTCTGTCTCATGTACTTTCAGTCCACTCTGACACAGATGCCTCCATGCCATGATGTCAGATTGTCCAGTATCTTTTCTCTCTGTCTCCCTCTGCCACTGCTCCCCTCCAGCTTCTCTACTGTCACAATGTACTACTCCAGTTTTCTCCTCATTACATGACCAAAGAATGTAGATTGTCTCTTTCTGATATGGGGCATCAGTTCTCGTCAGTTTCTTTCAAGACATCAAGACATTAAACATTAGTTTAAGACAAAAACTTAGTTAACATGAATAAAATTTTGACCCCAGCAGGGAGGTATTTTCTTTATTAGTTCACTGTAAGCACAATTTTTGTTTCACAGACTTGATTTATGGTCGCTTGGAATTTGTTGTAACAATATTTTACTGTACATATTACTGTTACAGCTGGTGTTGTCTGTTATCTTGTTTGTTTGCTGATATGTCTCCACAGGAGATGGGGCAGAAGAAGGAACAGATAACTCAACTGGAAATGGAGAAAGCCAGCTTGGTGCGGGATCTGTTTGAAGCTCGCTCGTTAAATAAATCAAGCCACGATGATACTACTTTCATGTGATGAGATCGGTGGTTAATGTATCCCTGCCCCCTGTTACATCAGAGTTGAACATTTGTTTTCCACCGTGTTATAGTTCTAAGTCATTGTTATATTGGACGTTTCATGGAGGGCCAGTATTTCATTCATAACTGGGACACTAATAAAGATATGGCAAGGAAATGTGGCGTGGACTTACATCTGAACATGCAGAGTCGGGTGATGTCAAACAAATGCTAGGAATGGCCACCAGGCTGCAAAACATCGCATGACCTTGATGATCACATCACACACTGAGTGCTGATTGGTCTGTAAAAATATGGAGTCTTATCAACTTATGCCTGATGCCACTAGCGTAAAAAGGAGTCCTTGACTTAACTCATTCAGTCCCAAGGAACACATCATCATCATCAGGTGCCTTGCCGACTGGCGTGGGCGATCATGCCTCTCCATAATCCGCGATCTCCTGCAGTATGTATCAGTTCGTGTGCCGACACACCTCCATGCCATGCAACAAGACTGTCAAGCATCTTCTCTCGTTGTCTTCCTCTATCCCTCCTTCCACAGATCTTTCCAGTGGTCACAACATGTTCTATTTTCCCTCTTCTCATAACATGGCCGAAAAATGATGACTGTCTCCTTCTGATGTCAGTGATAAGTTGTCTTCGGTCTCCCGCCTCTTTTAAAACCTCTTGGTTGCTCTTTTTGGCTGTCCAAGGTATTCTAAGCATTCTTCTGTAAAACCACATCTCTGAAGCCTCTAAAAATTGTTTGGCCTGCCTACCGATTGTCCAGGATTCACATCCATATGTTAAAACTGGATGTATGTAGCAAGCAAGAATTCTTTTTTCTAACTCTCAATGACAAGGATATATTGCACAAGATGTTTTTCATTTTATAAAATGCAGTTTTTGCCTGTCCATCATACGTTCATATATTCATAAGTTCCTACATTGAATCCCAATGAATGCAAGATGTGCTGATTTTATGTCTCCCTTGGACCTTTGCTTCTAAACCCCATGGGACTGAAAAAGTTAATTAGGCTAAGACAAAGTTTATGGTAAGAGATGATCATCATTATATGAAAAAATTGATGGCAGAGGTTTGACATGACAAACAGCATGAGCGAGTTGAATAAAAGCTTATACAAATAGAGGAGGGACCCTTTTCCACACCATTAGGCACATTGGGCATATAGTGCAAGGACAATATAAAGAAACCTGCAGCTTTCCAAGAAGTACCCGGATGTGTCGGCTACATCAGAGACTGAGGACACATGGGAATACCCAATGTGCTGTACGTCCATCTTAATAATAGATTGTCAAGAATGTTGCTGAAACTAAGAAGTCAGCATAAGACGAACAAACATTATTTATTTTCCAATGTTAAAGAGTTGGGCACGTAGGCCTGTCTAACATTGTGCCCTTCTGGCCTCATTACTATCATACATTATTCCATGAATCTGCTAAAATCCCTGTGTGGATTAAGTCTTTTTTCCACGCCTTAAGGCGTATAGGGCATAGAGGGCTAGACACCCCCCCCCCCCCCCCACTCCCCATTTTTTGGGGAAAAGAATGGACTCAACTCTTAATATATTGACCTTATAAACTAAGTCTAAATCACTGGCATTATGAGAGCTAATAGACTGAAATGGCTAGGGCATATTGAGAGAATGTCAGATGAAAATGGAGCTGAATGGTCGTAGACCACGAGGCAGACCAAGAAGACATTGGAGAGACCTACAAACAATTGGTGACACCAACGGGAGGGAGAAGGCCAACCAGAGAGATGAGTGGATTCGGGTGATATCTGCATCAGTGAACCTCAAGGGCTTGGTTGAAAATGGGGATTGTCACGGGCCAGGGGTCCAAGCTCCAGCATAGAAAGATTGATAATATGGTACAGTTGGCAGTTCATCCACAGGCCACTTGCTAGGTTTTTTTGGGCCAGATTTGGCCACCAGTTGAATAGCCCTGGTGTAGACAGTAACCAGATCACAGGGTCACCAGAATCACAGGTCATCTCATGGGTTCTCATGCTAACTGAATATTTATCTTGCCTTTCTCACGCTCCTTTTCTTTAAGTGACTTGTTTTGAATTTTTTGTTGATTTTAAATTTATCTTTATTCTGTTCATTTTCTTGCTATCATTTCTACTCGTATCTGTTGACTGAGCATTTTCTTCATCTTTTCATTCTCCGTGTCAGTGGTTTTCAGATGAGAAGATCTTCCCCCGTGTGGGTTCCGGGGCCCCATTGTGGGGAAAACAAGAATAGACCCACTGCCTCCCCAAAAGCATGTTGTAAGAGTCGACTAATTGGGGAGCTTCCTTTGAAGACGGAGTGCATCTGCCGGAGAGGCAAGGAAACAACAGTCTGTATTCAAGAGAATGAGATCTGTAAAACTGATGCACATGCAACACTCAGGTTCTGGAGCAGGACTGCAGTTCAGTAGTGGACGAGCAACCAGAACTTTCCGCTAGAGTGTACAGCTGGTGAACGCAAAGAAGAAGAAGAAGAAGAGAGATGATCTCAGGCCTCTGTGAAGTCTGTGGTGTGACTCATGTCTTTCACTGTTGCACACAGTTGGGCTTCTATTGGAATGTCAGCCGGCCAAACCTGGGATCTCTCTGCTGAATGTAAAGAGCATGTCTGTAGCACATGTTCAGTATTGAATGGTGCCTGTCCAGACTGGCAAAGTTCTAAATCCCCCCAGTCTTGAATTTCTTGCACATATGGCTGCAGAGTCTGTTGTGTCCAGTAAAAAAGTATGATGAACTGCATTTCAAACATCAGACTGTTTGTGTTAGCACTTCGGATGGCTACCATATGCTTTTAATGCGAGTGTATGCTAGATTTGCTGAGACAGCAGTCTGTCAGTCTTTCCACAAGGGACTGTGATAAACATTCTGTGTGTTTTTCGTTGGCACAGGAGCGGAGCAAAGATGGGGTGACCTGTTTGCTATGAAGCTGAAATTAAAATTACCAGATTACCAGTAAAAAGTAAAAAAGTAAAGGACCCTTTTCCACGCTTTTAGGCTTATAGGGCTAGATCTATATTTTTATAGACTAATTGGCACAGGATGGGTGATGTAGTCAGTCAGCCTCACGCCGACCGCCTTTACTTCCCAGGACTGCACCTGGTACCCACTCAAGGCTGAGTTACCCTGGAAGCCAAGGTTGTGTCCAGTACACAGTCTAAATATAATTGTTTGTATCTTTCATGTGAGGAGGTTGACTAGGCCTTCAAGAGTGTGTTCTGAATGGCTGCCTTTGACTATATTGATTAGTCCCATGTTTACTACTAAAAACAGAAACGTCTTTGTCGTATTTCAAGTTAAATTATAAACCTGCTGTGTGGGACTGGCATAGGTAAATGCTAATAACAGTTGGCAGTAAACGTTAATGAGTGCCAAGAGTTAATGTCAGATTATTACATAATGCTTCATTATTTCAACTGTGTGATCTCATTTAAATGCTCTTTTCAAATTTGTTTTTAAAAATGTTTTAACTAATAATTTTAGTTTTTCCCCCTGTTTGTAACAAAAATCTGTTGACCTTTTTTTTTAACTATCTTTTCTCTATTTCAGCTTCGTTATTTGGTTTAAGCCAGCTATATTTATTTAATAATTTATCCTGTTTCATCTTTCATCATTCCAACACGCACATTCCAGCTTTAAAACAGTCTATACTCTATGAAGGTTTAAGAGTGTTTAGGTAAGGGAAATAGACCCATAAGGGTTTGCTAATACCGGATGTTTAAGGCCAAAAAGGTGCAGATATTGTGACCTAGTTGTAAACAATTACACCAGTTGCCCTTTTTAGAATAAAAGATGGCCCGGCTCTCTAGCGTAGTTGGCTAAACCGGACTGCGTGGTGACCGGGTGATGAACTCCTTGTCCGGGTTCACTCCCGGGGGTAGGCAGAAAAGCCACATTTTCTCCCAGATTTACGGTACCTATCATGGAATCAAGGCCGAAGGGTTGAGATATCCATATTACCGAGCCAAAGAACAACTCATGGTTTCTGGATGCTAAATAAAAAAAAAAAAAAAGAATAAAAGACAAAGAAAGCTGTATTTTTTCAAATTAATTTGGTTTAATTGCAACATTTTTTGTGTTTCATTTTTCTAGCAATCCCATATACTATCTTTTCATTGTTCTTGTTTTAATCTCTCCTTGTTCTAAAGTGATGTTTTTCATAATTGCCAAAATACATTCCACAATTGTTAATTTTCCTTGCTTGTTACCAGTGAACTAAATACTTAAGACAATCCGTGTCAATTTTAGTTGACTTTTTGTATTTATGCTTTTGCAAGGAGCTTACGTGAAGTTTACATTCATTGATTTAGATACCACTTGTTCAATCCTTGCTTTATATTATCCTCTCATGGTGAGATAAAAGCCAGGCATATCTGTTTCTGTTAACCATTACAAATTAAAAAAATTAAAATACACATTGTTCTAATAAGTGTAGATATGTCATTATGTTATGACAGACACTCAGATGTTGTTCTTGTAAGGCAAATGTATCTTGTCTTATTTGTGTACAGTAAATATGAGTCTTGCTTTTGTCAAGTGGCCATGCCTGTCTTGTTTTTGTAAGACAGCATAGTTGTATTTTGTTAGATTAATATGAAAGTCTTGCTTTCATATTAAAAATATGCATGTCATTTTTATTTGTATGATACTCCCATGTTTTACTGTAGTAGTTACTATGGTTCAATATGGCTGATAGGCAGGCTGACTATAACATTTTGAAAAGTTATTTGTTTCTAACTATGGTTTGCTGATGGACATATCACCCATTTCTGGACTGGACATCCAAATATTCTGTTGCCCAGTTGAGTGCTGCATGTGATACTGTGCGCTGTGGATTTCATGTGGAAGGTTTTATTCTGTTCCCCCTGCTTTAGTTTTGTGTGGTGAACTGCACTAAAAATGGCGACTGGCAGATTACATTCAGAATGACATGTACGTATGCATTTATTTTGCATGTGCAAGCTTCAAGATTTTGCTGGGGCCTA